GACCGCTTCTTTACAGTAGAAATATTGAAATAAAGATTAAACAGAACCATAGGATTGTGCAATGAAGATTATTACAATGGTCTGCCTTTAGAATAATAATAAATGCTGTAAAGAAGTCAATGGAACGCAGACCGTGGGGATTGGCGCACATTCAGCAAATCTGATCTAACAGTGGATAGTTGTCAAATCCATCATGATTGATGTATTGTAACAGGCCCACAAAGTGGTTACTAAAGTGTGATTTGCATATATTTTGCTGTTTTCGTTGCATAACATTTAGAAGTTGTCCCTTTTCAGGTTTTAAGAGGTGACTGCTAAAGGCTAACTCCCATTCGAATAAGCTGGTAGCATAGCTAGCATACAGAAATCGGTGGTGGTAGTCAAAGTCATTTTTAACTGTAATGCTGTTGATTGGTGATGATGACATCCATACAAGCATTATACTCCGATTTTTTCCTCAACATAGTGTGAAATAAACATGAAAACAATTGCATACATATAGGCACATTTTGCTGGGGGGCAATGAGGAGATTCAGAAGTTTCCCCCATGGCATCTTTCTCCCACGCGTTTCCAAGGCATTTCCATTGTTTTGGTCGAGTTCCATTTACCTCTTTACCGCATCTATGTAAGCTAAGATTTCTTAATTTCCCTTTTTACAATCTTGGTTCCTTTTCAGATTTCATAGATAATCTTATAATAGGTGTTTAACATTTGTTCAATAGCTCAATAGAATCTGATGTAAAGCAATGAACACAAGAGAAAACTAATCAAATTAGCATTGCAGAACAAAATATCCACACTAATAAATAAGCACACAAAATGTAACAAATGTAACAAAACCCAATTACTTTCCCTACAAACCTGCAGCAGTACAGATAATATATTTTCTAAATAGGTCTTCCCTGTGAAAGATGTCTGAAGAACTTAGCACTGTTGAATGACCGACGACCAATGCTAAAATGCCAACGCATGTTTCCTGCTCATAGGGCGAAAGGAGCTTCGAGGCTCATGGGATGAATGGTTGTACTCCACTGTTAAAATGTCCTTACATGCCGAAGGAATGTCTTTCCGAAGAAATTCAGGAGAAATAAAATGAATTATACATGTGGATGAACTCTCAGTGACCTAGCTCAGCTAGTTCAGCTTTGTCTACCAGTGGAGGCAGTGGAGGAGTTGCCTTAGAAACTGGTGGTGGCAGAGATGACAAAGAAGAAACACTTCCATGTTCCCGTTATCTGTAACTCTGTTAATCTTTCTTTTTAATAAGTATTTGAACAAAGCCGGCATGACATTGAGAACATCAAAATGAGTTGTCAACAACAAACCAAATAGGGACAGTGAGATGAGTGAGGATGATACAATTATCATTCAACAAAACAAAGCGTTGCTTTGCTAGGTCGTGTCAGGGAGAATGGAACCGGAGCGGAAAAAAATTCCTCTGTGGATTGAGTTTCATGCATCATAACAATGTTAGTTGTCGCTACAGCAACAGCTTGCAATGACAACTGCTATAACACTCTTATTAGAATGTAACACCACACTTGTTACAATGTAACAAGGGACTACAGATGCAGAAGCTCCACCTCTTTCCTTTACTACTGAACACACACTTATGTACACTATCATGGGAAACACTTTCCTATGACTGAAAAAAACACTTGTGCAACATTCTCTAAACATCCCCGTCCTTCTCTCCTCTCACTCTCCTTTGTGTCATTACGTGCCGACTCCAGGAACGGCATTCTGGGATAGCTCGGCATGGTGAATTCGGTGCTTAACCATCCACCCATCTCCGCTTACCGCTAGACTGGCTACACCTGCTGCCAGGGGACCTGTGCGTGCCTTCAAGCTGCTGACTGGCTGACTGGTGCTCCTGCTCCTACTCCTGCTGATGACAGCTTTCAGAGGACTGCTTTGCACAGCAGTGTAGTGGAGGAAACTAGCTACTAGCTAGCATGCACACTGTTGTGTGTACAGTATTTCACTATGTTAGGGAATTCAAGTGGTGGAACTTGACTCAACAGTTGGTTTCTAACTTCTAAATGAAGCTGATGAAATGTGTTGATAGTGGGATAATTTGATGAGACACATATGGATGGGATGTTGGTTAGAAATCAGTGTGTTGTGAGGTTTTTACTCTAGACACCTTATCAGATGAGTGGAAAGTCAACACAAAGTTGTTTTGTTCCCTTCTTGTATGGAAATAATTTGAGAGATAATGTTTGAGGAGATTACCATGAAAATCTATGAGAGTTAATGTGCTTTACAGAGATAGAACACTATGAATAGATGCCAGCAAAGGACATGATAAACTATAGCACTGCAAAATACCCCCAAGTTACTTGTCCTTGTCACGTTGAAGGGCCTTGTACAATATACTCATCAATAATAACAATTGATATGTACAACAATATGTGATCATCTTGATGAATCAGACACAAATGATATCCACGGATCATAAATGGTTGATTCCACTTTTCTCGTTACATTCAAAGGGCAAACAATATAAATAATCCCATGATGCTTATGGAAAGTGTCGTCTGTTACAAAGAGTTTAACCATTGAGATGCATGTAAAAATTTCAAGCAGGAGTGGCGTTGTGTAAACCTGGTTTGATATTTAGAAAATGATTCCCATCTTAACAGTTAAACCCTTTGTATGAGACAGATACATTGTATAGCCATAAATTAACAAAATGATGGATATGCGAGTCTGTATATATACACTGTATTTAAAAATTACTGAGCTCTTTTGATGAATAGAAAATAACTATTTACAACACTTGCTTATCTACAACACATACAACGTGTCCTTAATAATAACATGCACAAGTCAAGGACCTCATTAAAAACAAATAAAGTTAGACTCTTTCTATAAGTAACATGTTGCTTTTTAACACGCTTTTAAGAACTGATAACAGGTCATGACTAGATCTCCTGTGTTCGGCATTGTACTTTTACTACAAGCATGTTGAAAGTAAATATACATATAGTTTATACAGAGCTTTAACAGATATCTAAAGATAATTTGGTACATTTTCAATAATATTCCCTGTTAGATCGGAGACCTAGACATGTTGGCCCATACAGACAAAAACTCTTATACCTCATGAAAAGTAAAACTTTAAGAAATGTACATACCTCTCTTCGTAGGTTTTGATAAAGGCTTTGATAAATGTCCATGAAATGAGACAATTACGGACTGAAAATTTTACGTTTCTTTGTAATCCAAATTGTGTAACAGTAGGCCTAAGTAGCTCATACTGGTAAATAAAACTTGTCTCATTGAGTGGATTTCAAATTTGCCGCATAGATGCTATCAAACAAGACACCCATGCACATCAGAATAAATGAGGTCCTTAGAAAACTATTAACATTGGGGTTGTGTTTGAGAAATTACAAAATAAACCAAAAAATAGAAAATCCTCAAAATGGCAATACTTTAAGTCTGTACACATTTGTTGCATTCCTTCCTGGGCTTTACACGCTAGTACAGTTAGGAATCTCCCTTGTGCTCTTGCAGGCATTTCCAATTCGCCCTGGGGTACAGAGAAAAAAAACACAACATAAGAACAATGTGGGTTAGTCCACTGTTAGTAGAGGCTTTGATGCCTGTGAAACAAATAACTACTTGGACATTGATACGGCCTGTTAATTACTGGGGTTTGATTACATTGTCTTATCAAAAGCTCTTAAGCTGTTGTTTCATGTGTGGGACATTAGAGGCTGACCCATTCGTTAGTTTGTTTCCTTGTTTTCTTCTGAAGATACAGTACCCCTCCTTTTTCCTACCAGTTAATTCCATGTATAGAAACAATGTAGACTTTCTAAACACTATGTAGTGTATACACTGCAGGTCAAAAGTCAACATTGTTATACACGGAGATATGACCCATATGTTTTCTAGTCCAATGCAATTAGTTTGGACAATGTATATGTAATATTGATGGATCTTTCTCAACAAGGAAGTTCAAAGTCACCAAATCAGTAACTTGCTAATAACACAATTAACAATGATTTATCAGACTATGTATCTTACATTTAACCCTGGCGTCCATCTCTTTCTCCATGACTTCTGTGGGCATAGAGAACTCACTGAGGGTGATTTTAGGCGTGCTGTCACTCTGGCTGACCGAACCGATCATCTCCTGCTCTTTCTGCTGGTTCACCTCTGCGTATATGTTAATCCAGGGGATTTTTCTGCAGATTGGTAAATGTAGATAGACAACAGCCATGTTACAATAAGCAATGACTAGTCAATAATTGTCCCATTGGCAGCATTTCTCAAAGCTACACATTTTGTTCAGAGTTGGTATGACGACAAGACTAAACTAACCCCTGGACGTGTTATTATCATGAAGCCACTAGATATCTAACTAAGAAAATCTTAATCTATCCATAAATAAATCCCCATATGACATCAATGTCTAGTACTGATATAAGACTGTAATCCTCATACATATACATTTTGCATAATCTCCAAAAAATATTTTATCATTCATATTTATGATCAGAAAATGTTTCATCCACTTGTACTTCAATTTATTTCAAATTACAAGTCATTTTGTTATTTAATTGTTTTGCTTTGTCATGTGTGACATTTCAATTAATCTGTTTCCTCTTTAGATTAATGTGGGAAATCCATATCCATAATTTATGCGGTTTCCGCAGACTTTTCCATCATTTTAATAATTCAGCTACTAACAGCCGAAGTACGGCAACCGCATATTAAGCAATTTAATGATAGTTTTCTTAACATAACATCACTGATTCACACATGTGCCTCATGCATCCAAATCACTCTAAATCTGTTTACTACATCTACAGAATAATTTGAAAAGTTATTTCAAAGGAACACCATTAGTTCATCGTTCATTTATGCAGGCCCTATCAATCTAGCATATTATTATAATATGCATTATTAATGATGATGTCAGGTGATTACAGCAGTGCTGCGATACAGTGTACAAATATATAATCATACAGTACTGTACATACCTCTTGAATTTGTAGATGAGAAACACTGCTAAACCCAGGAATACTACTGATAGGAGCATCAGCATGACTGAACTGCTGTGTCTCGGGCTGGAATCCACCAAGGGTGCTGTAACAGAGGGTAGAGGAAGACCAACGTTAAACATAACAAGAACATAGCAACACAATAAAGGCTAATCTGGGATTTCCTTGGAGATGTTCTTGCTTCATTGCCAATATTGATCCTATACTGTATATTATTGTTATTTGTGATTTATTTTGTATAATGTTTCTGCCACCGTCTCTTATGACCAATAAGAGTTTCTGAATATCAATGACAGCGATTACTCACCTCGTATTGGACAAAGATTTTTTCTTCAACGAGTCGGACACAAAGGATATTCTACAGACACCCGACAAGGCCCAAATCCCCGTCATTCGCATGAGAAAGTGACAGAGATATCGTAGGTCGGGGTGCCTTGTAAGGATCCGAATGCGAGCGAGTACTCTGCCTCTACCATCAGTCCTATTAGCCAACCTACAATAATTTGAAAACAAAATAGACGACTTACGATCACGGATATCCTACCAACGGGACATAAAAATGGTTAATATCTTAATTTTCACAGTTGTGGCTGAACGACGACATGACTAACATACAGCTGGCGGGATATACGCTACATCGGCAGGATAGAACGTCTGACTCCGGTAAAACAAGGGGTGGCGGTCTGTGTATATTTGTAAACAACAGCTGGTGCACGAAATCCAATACTAAGGAAGTCTCGAGGTTTTGCTCGCCTGAGGTAGAGTATCTCATGATAAGCTGTAGATCACACTATTTACTCAGAGAGTTTTCATCTATATTTTTCGTAGCTGTCTATTTACCACCACAAACCTATGCTGGCACTAAGATTGCACTCAATGAGCTGTATAAGGCCATAAGCAAACAGGAAAACGATCATCCAGAGGCAGCACTCCTAGTGGCTGGGGACTTTAATGTAGGGAAACTTAAATCCGTTCCACCTCATTTCTACCAGCATGTTAAATGTGCAATCATAGGAAAAAAAAACTCTAGACCACCTTTACTCCACACACAGAGACACGTACAAAACTCTCCCTCGCCCTCCATTTGGTAAGTCTGACCATAATTCCATCCTCCTGATACCTGCTTATAAGTAAAAACTAAAGCAGGAAGCACCAGTGACTCGGTTAATAAGGAAGTGGTCAGATGACGCAGATGCTAAGCTACAGGACTGTTTTGCTAGCACAGACTGGAACATGTTCCGGGATTCTTCCGATGGCATTGAGGACTACACCACATAGAGCTGCCGCTTTCAAGGAGCGGGACTCTAACCCGGACGCTTATAAGAAATCCCGCTATACCCACCGACTAACTATCAAACAGGCAAAGAGTCAATACAGGACTAAGATTGAATCATACTACACCGGCTCCGACGCTCGTCGGATGTGGCAGGGCTTGCAAACTATTATAGACTACAAAGGGAATCACTGCCGCGAGCTGCCCAGTGACACGAGCCTACCAGACGAGCTAAATCACTTCTATGCTCGCGTCGAGGCAAGCAACACTGAAGCATGCTTGAGAGCATCAGCTGTTCCGGATGACTATGTGATCACGCTCTCCGTAGCCGATATGAGTAATACTTTTAAGTAGGTCAACATTCACAAGGCCGCAGGGCCAGACGGATTACCAGTACGCGTACTCCGAGCATGCGCTGACCAACTGGCAAGTGTCTTCACTGACATTTTCAACATGTCCCTGACTGAGTCTGTAATACCAACATGTTTCAATCAGACCACCATAGTCCCTGTGCCTAAGAACACTAAGATAACCTGCCTTAATGACTACTGACACATAGCACTCATGTCTGTAGCCATCAAGTGCTTTGAAAAGCTGGTCATGGCTCACATCAACACCATTATTCCAGAAACCCTAGACCCACTCCAATTTGCATACTGCCCCAACAGATCAACAGATGATGCAATCTCTATTGCACTCCACACTGGCCTTTCCCACCAGGACAAGAGGAACACCTACATGAAAATGTTATTCATTGACTACAGCGCAGCGTTCAACACCATAGTTACCTCAAAGCCCATCACTAAGCTAAGGACCCTGGGACTAAACACCTCCCTCTGCAACTGGATCCTGGACTTTCTGACGGGCTGCCCCCAGGTGGTAAGGGTAGGTAACAACACATCTGCCATGCTGATCCTCAACACGTCGGCCCCTCAGGGGTGCGTGCTCAGTCGCCTCCTGTACTCCCTGTTCACCCATGACCACATGGCCAGGCACGACTCCAACACCATCATTAAGTTTGCCGCCGACACAACAGTGGTAGGCCTGATCACCGACAACGATGAGACAAAGGAGATGATTGTGGACTACAGGAAAAAAAAGAGGATAGAGCATGCCCCCATTCTCATCGACGGGGCTGTAGTGGAACAGGTTGAGAGCTTCAAGTTCCTTGGTGTCCACATCACCAACAAACTATCGTGGTCCAAACATACTAAGACAGTTGTGAAGAGGGCATGACAAAGCCTATTCTCAGGAGACATGGCATGGGTCCTCAGATCCTCAAAAAGTTATACAGCTGCACCATCGAGATCATCCTGACTGGTTGCATCACTGCCTGGTACGGCAACTGCTCGGCCTCCGACCGCAAGGCACTACAGAGGGTAGTGCGTATGGCCCAGTACATCTCTGGGGCCAAGCTTCCTGCCATCCAGGACCTCTATACCAGGCGGTGTCAGAGGAAGGCCCTAAAAATTGTCAAAAACTCCAGCCACCCTAGTCATTGTCACGATCGTCGAAGGAGGAGGACCAAGGCGCAGCGTGATATTCGTACATACTTATTTTATTAAGTGCACACAATAAACAAAACAACAAACGATAACGTGACGTCCTAGGTCTAACACAACCAACACGGAACAAGATCCCACAACACCTGTGGGAAAACAGCCTGTCAAAATATGGCTCCCAATCAGAGACAACCAGCAACAGCTGACACTCGTTGCCTCTGATTGGGAACCACTCTGGCCAACATAGAAATACAATACTAGACTGTGAACATAGAACACAAAACACATAGACTTTACACACCCTGGCTCAACATATTAGAGTCCCCAGAGCCAGGGTGTGACAGTACCCCCCTCCAAAAGCGCGGATGCGACCGCGCCTAAACATAACCGAACAGGGAAGGGCTGGGTGGGCATTCCTCCTCAGAGGCGGTTCCGGCTCCGGGCTTGACCACCACCCCTCAACAATCCCCCCGTAGCGCCCCTGGTCCGGTCTAGCCCCGCTGGCTGGAGTTGGACTGGACATCGGTGGAGCGGATTGCTTGGGCTCCGATGTGGAGCTGCTGACCGGTACCTGACCAGGTACCAGTGACCCAGGCACGGGTTGTGCCGGACTGACGACGCACACCACAGGCTTGGTGCGTGGAGCAGGAACGGGCCGGACCGGGCTGACAACGCGCACCCCTGGTTTGGTGCGTGGAGCAGGAACGGGCCGGACCGGGCTGACGACGCGCACCCCTGGCTTGGTGCGTGGAGCAGAAACGGGCCGGACCGGGCTGACGACGCGCACCCCTGGCTTGGTGCGTGGAGCAGGAACAGGCCGGACCGGGCTGACGACGTGCACCCCTGGCTTGGTGCGTGGAGCAGGAACGGGCCGGACCGGGCTGACGACGCGCACCCCTGGCTTGGTGCGTGGAGCAGGAACAGGCCGGACCGGGCTGACGACGCGCACCCCTGGCTTGGTGCGTGGAGCAGGAACAGGCCGGACCGGGCTGGCGACACGCACCCCTGGCTTGGTGCGTGGAGCAGGAACAGGCCGGACCGGGCTGGCGACGCGCACCGTAGGCTTGGTGCGAGTGGCAGGAACAGGCCGGGCCGGGCTGGCGACGCGCACCGTAGGCTTGGTGCGAGTGGCAGGAACAGGCCGGGCCGGGCTGGCGACGCGCACCCCTGGCTTGGTGCGGGGAGCAGGTTCAGGCCGGGCTGGGCTGGCGACGCGCACCGTAGGCTTGGTGCGGGGAGCAGGAACAGGCCGGGCCGGGCTGGCGACGCGCACCGTAGGCTTGGTGCGAGTGGCAGGAACAGGCCGGGCCGGGCTGGCGACGCGCACCGTAGGCTTGGTGCGAGTGGCAGGAACAGGCCGGGCCAGGCTGGCGACGCGCACCGTAGGCTTGGTGCGAGGGGTAGGAACAGGCCGGGCCGGGCTGACTATGCGCACCCCTGGCTTGGTGCGGGGAGCAGGAACAGGCCGGGCCGGGCTGGCGACGCGCACCATTGGCTTGTTGCGGGGAGCAGGAACAGGCCGGGCCGGGCTGGCGACGCGCACCATTGGCTTGGTGCGGGGAGCAGGAACAGGCCGGGCCGGGCTGGCGACGCGCACCATTGGCTTGGTGCGGGGAGCAGGAACAGGCCGGGCCGGGCTGGTGACGCGCACCATAGGCTTGGTGCGGGGAGCAGGAACAGGCCGGGCCGGGCTGGGAACACGTACTACTAACTTAGTGCGGGGAGCAGGAACGGGTTGGGCCGGACTGGGAACACGCACTACTAACTTAGTGCGGGGAGCAGGAATGGGTCGGACCGGACTGGGAACACGCGCTACTAACTTAGTGCGGGGAGCAGGAACGGGTCGGGCCGGACTGGGAACACGCACTACTAACTTAGTGCGGGGAGCAGGAACGGGTCGGGCCGGACTGGGAACACGCACTACTAACTTAGTGCGGGGAGCAGGAACGGGCCGGACCGGACTGGTGACACACACCACTTGCTTGGTGTGAGGAGCGGGACTGGGTTTCTTCATAACCCTCCGCTCCCTCAGCTGCCTACACAGTTCCTCTCGCCGTGCCTCTACTCTCTCCTTCTCCCTTATCGCCTCCAGAAGCTCCTCCCTCTGAACCACTAACTCCTGCTCCCTCTGGACCAATAGCCCCCTTAACCTGGTGGCCTCCTCTCCTATTCTCCCAATACGCCCTGTAGCTGCCTCCTGCTGCCCCGTCGCCCATGCCGTGTGCCCCCCCCCTAAAAAATGTTTGGGGTTGCCTCTCGTCCTTCCGACGATGACACTGTTGACGCCGTTGCTCCTCTCTCCGGCGCGCCTCCACCGTCTCTTCCCACGGACGCCGATCCATCCCAGCCTGTATCTCCTTCCAAGTCCAGGCTGCCTGCTCCTGGACACACTGCTTGGTCCTGGTATGGTGGGATCTTCTGTCACGATCGTCGAAGGAGGAGGACCAAGGCGCAGCGTGATATTCGTACATACTTATTTTATTAAGTGCACACAATAAACAAAACAACAAATGATAACGTGACATCCTAGGTCTAACACAACCAACACGGAACAAGATCCCACAACACCTGTGGGAAAACAGCCTGTCTAAATATGGCTCCCAATCAGAGACAACCAGCAACAGCTGACACTCGTTGCCTCTGATTGGGAACCACTCTGGCCAACATAGAAATACAATACTAGACTGTGAACATAGAACACAAAACACATAGACTTTACACACCCTGGCTCAACATATTAGAGTCCCCAGAGCCAGGGTGTGACAGTCATGGACTGTTCTCTCTGCTACCGCACGGCAGGCAGTACCGGAGAGCCAAGTCTAGGACCAAAAGGCTTCTTAACAGCTTCTACCCCCAAGCCATAAGACTCCTGAACAGCTAATCATGGCTACCCGGACTATCTGCATTGTCCCCCCACCCCACCCCCTCTTTTACGCTGCTGCTACTCTCTGTTTATTATCAATGCATAGTCACTTTAACTCTACCCACATGTACATATTACCTATATTACCTCGACTAACCTGTGCCCCTGCACATTGACTCTGTACCGGTACCCCCTGTTTATAGCCTCCCTACTGTTATTTTATTTTACTGCTGCTCTTTCATTATTTATTTTTTACCTATCTATTTCTTTACTTGACACTTATTTTTCTTAGAACTGCAGTGTTGGTTAAGGGCTTGTAAGTAAGCATTTCACTGTAAAGTCTACACCTGTTGTATCCGGCGCATGTGGCAAATACAATTTGATTTGATTTGAAGGTAGAGCACAGTATATTTTCTACTTTGTATTTTTATCCAGCCCCAGCTCTGAGAGGCGGCCTGTGATGTTGATGACTTTTCTGAAGCAGCTTGAAGGCTCTTCCCAGCTTTTCTAAGGTGAGACACACACACACCCCACCCTTGACACACAGACACACACACACACACACACACACACACACACACACACACACACACACACACACACACACACACACTTTAAGATTCAGCACCCGCCGTCTTGCGTTGTGTATACCTAGCCCTTTAAACCACAGACAGCCAGCTCAAGACTATATGTTCTCACTGGGATTATGTGGCTAATAGAACCTTCCAAATATGTACTCTTAGACCTGTGAAGTCTTCAACCACCACCATCTATGACCAGAGAGCTTTGAGCAATCCTCTCTCCAACTCCCACCTCCACCCAACACCCACATTAACTTCACATGTGAAGTGTTCCAAAAACACGTTTTCATATGATTTCACATGTGAAATGTCATGTTTTATGCATTTTCCACGTGAAATCATGTGGCTTTTCTGTAAGGGCACTTCCAACTTTAACCCTCTACTCTTCCATGTGGACCCAGCTGCTGTAGTAAGTGTGGTGTTGTAGAAGTATATAGAAGGAGGCTGGACTACTGCTCTGTATCCATTCAATACTCTCAACTGAGAATATTTTCCATTGTGAAGCAGGTTTTGGGTTGTTTCTGGGTGGACACTGGCCAATCATTTTAATTGCAGCCAAGAGTAGTTATTTATTTGTCTCATTTCAAGCCAACACTCAAACTTGTGTAATGTTGATTATTTTGAGGCGATTCTGAATTCTGCATGCATTTATAACCAAACTTCTCTTTTTTTGTCCTTTTCTCAAGGACTAAATAATCAACATAATTATACTCAGTGTAACACTCATTTTGTGGTTGGATGGCTGTAAAAGAAAGTGAACAGATGTTGGGCATCTTGATGGCTGATATAAAAGTTCCCTTGTCTCAAGGAGTTCCACTTAAAATAAAATCAATCCTCCCTTTCCTCCCATGTCCTCCTCCAATCGTCATACATAAATACAGAACAAAAAAAGTGTTTGGTTTATGCTATCCAAATATGGCTTATGAAGAGATTATCTCAAGTAGATTACATTGCATTTATGACATCACAAAAATAAACAAATACAGCTAAAAAACAGGAGAATATGTAGAGAAAATAATGATTTCTCATGCAAGTACATACAGTTAATTTATGTAATTATCTTGATAGTAACTTCTTTCCTTATCCAAAGTTAGCTGTGTGATGTAAACGATTACTTTTGCTCCTGGCTTTAGCTCAAACTCCACCAGATTCTGGTCCAGAGGCAAGTATCTCAGAGATCTGTTGAAGGAGATGAAAGAAGCATCATTTTGTCTAACAATTGTCACCCTTTACAGCTCTTTCAATTCACTCACACAGTATAATTAAATAATATTTGCCATCTTGTCATGACACCCACCACATTGGTTCAATTGTCTCAATTGTCAGACTCGGGCGCGTAGAATTAATGTGGATGTGTGTCATTTCAGCCATGACAATGTAATTATCCTATTGGGTGAATTTACGTGAAGGATTGGAAACACTTTGTCATATATGCCATGACAGAATTACAATGACACTCAAAATGTCAGCGTCCAATCTAACTGTCCCATACCTGCTTTAGCTCCTCCTCGCTCTTTTTCCTGCCCTCTGATTGGTTATTGTGTGGTAACATGAAGAGCTCAGTGGACGTTGGCACACCTGGAAACACTGCAACCAATAGCTGATCCTCTGGAAAGTCTGACACCTGTTGACAATGGACAGTACTGTTACAATATGTTCATACCTGTATGGCATTCTTAGTCTACAGTCAAAAACACTGCCCTTAGATTATATACATATTTAACATGTTTGAAATCAAAGGAGAGGGAGGTGACAATGAAATAGCTTTGGGCTTGATCAACATGTGGTAATAACCAAGTACAACCTAGAGGTAAACAAGCAACAATATGTCACCAAACCAATAGATGACAATTAATAGGACTTTCTTATCTCAACCGCCATGTTTTTCACGAAAGTGTATTTATTTCTTGATGGGAAAAGTAGGTCTTGCCAACCAACTGTTTTTCCATGCCTTCAAAATAGCTACTATTAAATGTTTTTTCTTTATAATGGCCTTTTTCCACTTCAGACCACCTATGAGGCAGGGGGTTCCAACCGGCAATCAGTGCCCATTTTAAAAGCCACTAATGTTTCTATGGGTTCTCTATGGGGCTATCGGCAGACAATGGAGTGGCGTAGTCGGCGAGTCACATACACTTGAAGCACATTCATTATCAAACATAAAAATCACTATTTGAGTAGCAAAATAGTGGACAAATAGAGAGCAAAGGAATGACTCACAATGAGAGTAAAGAGGCATAGAAGGAAAGGAGAGGGATAGGGAAGGGGATGGGATGCAATAGCCCCTGAAAAAATCAATACACTCAGGCCGGTTTGTTCTCTTTGCGATCACTCATTAGTCTAAAAAGCCTTCTGGCTCTGTGTGCTTGGGTAGCACTGGCATTTTATGTCCCCCAAACTCATTGGCTGGAGTGAAACATCTGATTTGGGTTAAGGGAGGGGAGTAGGTGAGTCAGACTGAGTCAGATGAGTGAGCTTTTAGGAGGGAATTTTGGCCAAGCTCAAATGTGGCTGAAAAAACACGTCTGCCAGGCTTTATCTTGACGCTTTAATATTTGAACAGCAAAGGCTTTTGGAGCAGCTTCCTCACAATCTTACTGTATGCAAAGCTAAATAAAAAAAGATGAAACAGTGGTCAATTACTAATTACTGTTGTAAACACACCATGACGTGGATTCTGTTTTTCTTTTATCGTGAACTTGACCGTAACTATGAACTATGAAAAGGTTGTATAATAAAACTTCCTGTATGAAAAGAGGTGCTGTAACAGTCTATTGAGGCTAGCAATTAATAGCTCAACTAGAGCTATAGCTTTCTGTAACTGAGTGTGCCCCTCAGTTCAACACAATTCAATTGGCTGGTGCTATACTATACTGCCATGAACATAGTATGAGGCTCCCTGGCTCCAGGTGACATAGTACACTTTATCCCTCACAAAGCCTCACCCTGACCTCTATCACAGTAGCTCCCTCCACTGGCTCTCAGCCTAGCTCGCATAAGTCGCCTCTCATGTCAAATCCACTGTGGAGTTGATGAAGACACAGAAAGACCACAAGTCGCATGCTATAGGCCTTAACCTCCACTCGAAGTGGAAGAATAACACACTTAACTATGACATATCAGCGCTAGCTCTCCTCCGCAGATACTACGCACATCCAGTGCCCAGGTAATGGCTAAGATCTCCTTCATTCCAGGCTAATTCTGAAGAACGCATTTCATCGCTCCGATTTCTGAAAATAAATTATTAGTGCTCATCAAGCTACCTCAAGGGGGGAAGAAGAAGCCGAGCCTCAAACACCTGTGTGATAACGAATCACAGGACAGCACGAGGGCGAACGTCGAAGCGCCTGAGTGGATAGAAAGATACAAGAGAGAGGGAGAAAAAGAGCAGAGCCTTCTTAATGACTCTCCCCACATCCTGTCTCCACTCGGGGACGTCAGGGTTGAACTCGTCCAGATTAGGGGAGAAAGATAAAAGCAGAGATTTGAAGAACTCTGTCAGAGAGAGAGAGAGAGAGACCCAGGGGAGAAACAGAAACAGACCGTTAATTCAGCTCCTGATCTAGGTGCATTATTCTCAAGGTATCCTCTTCATTCCCCACTGTAGCGAGTAGCGCAGTGGTCTAAGGCACTGCATCGCAGTGATAGCTGTGCCACTAGAGATCCTGGTTCGCATCCAGGCTCTGTCGTAGCCGGCCGCGACCGGGAGACCCATGGGGCGGCGCACAATTGGCCCAGCGTTGTCCAGGGTAGGGGAGGGAATGGCCGGCAGGGATGTAGCTCAGTTGGTAGAGCATGGCGTTTGCAACGCCAGGGTTGTGGGTTCGATTCCCACGGGGGGTATGATTTTTTTATTTTTATAATGTATGCACTAACTGTAAGTCGCTCTGGATAAGAGCGTCTGCTAAATGACTAAAATGTAAATGTAATGTAAAATGTTATGGTTGTGTCCCTCCTCTAACTGTCTTCTGATGGGTGGGAAAGATGACAGAGATGTTGGTGTGTGTGAGTGTGTGTGTGTCTTCATGGTTTGACAAGGGGAGATGATTGCTCGTATAAGTGCTTTCTTAGATAATTGGGGAAATGTCCTCTTCGACAATATCCTAACATATTCAAATGTAAAGTACCCTCAAATGTTGCATACCAAGTGAGATGGCTGCTAGATGTGCTAATTAGCATTACATCAAGTAGAATAATTTGATTAGGGAGATCCAAGAGAGACAGACAGAGAGAGAGAGAGAGAGAGAGAGAGAGAGAGAGAGAGAGAGAGAGAGAGAGAGAGAGAGAGAGAGAGAGAGATAGTACTTAACCTTACCTTGGACTGCTATCGTCTTGCTGTCTTGCAGTATGGCATTGGCTCAAGACACTTGGACTGTAACAGTGTTCATTCCCTCGCTGGTGAAGGTGTACGAAATGCTCCTGTCTAAGCTGATCACCGGCTGGAGGAAGAGGGAACATGGACAAAATGAACAATCACACTTTGATCCGGTCATAATCCCTTCACCTAAAACCCCGGAACATGAAAGAAACCCATTTCAGATGAGAACAACTTCTCCTTGAACTTCTCACTTAGAGTAGTCGGAACTTCTGACTTGCGTAGTTAGAGTAGTCGAAATTCTGACTTGAGTAAAACCCTACAAAAAACATCCTCCCCATAAGACCTAGAAACAATGCACCTAAGGTAATAACTTATGACATACTAACAAGACGTCTGAACAAAATACAAGATCAGAGACTGCTCCGCCTCTATCACAGCCACCTTCCATCATAGAAGAGGTCAATGTACCTAATACCATAGACATCATGTATACCCCATATATAAAATAAAATATGCCATTTAGCAGACGCTTTTATCCAAAGCGACTTACAGTCATGCGTGCATAATATTTTTTTTTTTTTGTGTATGGGTGGTCCCGGGGATCGAACCCACTACCTTGGCGTTACAAGCGCCGTGCTCTACCAGCTGAGCTACAGAGGACCATATACATCAGTGGAGTCTACTGAAGGGAGGACAGCTCACAGTAATGGCTGAAGTGGAATGGAAACGATGTCTTTGATGTGTTCAATGCGGTTCCATTTATTCCATTCCAGGCATTACAATATGCCCGTCCTCTGATTTAATTAAAATGACACCAGCCACCACTGCAGTACATGTACAGTATATGGCATTATAGGGTAAGACCCCTTTTGAATAGTGTCAGTTTACCTCTACTAATGTTGTACAGTATACTGTATACTATACACAACATCAGAAAAGGATCTGTGTCTGCACAATGTGGTATCACTACTGGAGTCCCACAGGGCTCGGTTCTAGGCCCTCTTCTCTGTACACCAAGTGTTTTAAGTCCAGTTTACCTCAGTGCTGTTCCCAAGCCACCAGAAGTAGCTCAGGGTCCTGAAGTGGATTGGCCAGACCACTGCTGTTAGGCTTACTTCCTTGTTCTTGATGGTCACAAATGGAGCCAGCAGCTGGACATGTTCCACAGGACCTGATACAAACACAGAGGATGATTCAGACTCAGTTTTGGATGATTTAGACACAGTATTGGATGATTCAGACTCAGTGTTGGATGTCTCAGACTCAGTATTGGATGATTCAGACTCAATATTGGATCAATCAGACTCAGTATTGGATGATTCAGACTCTTTATTGGATGATTCACACTCCGTATTGGATGATTCACACTCCGTATTGGATGATTCAGACTCCGTATTGGATGATTCAGACTCCGTATTGGATGATTCAGACTCCGTATTGGATGATTCAGACCCAGTACTGGATGATTCAGACTCAGTATTGAATGATTCAGACTCAGTATATGATTGTAATTACATGGATATTGTTTCAGACTACCTACTTTACAATATGAAAAGCACTCGCACATCGAAATACTATTTTTAGATTATTTTTAGTTTAAAAATGAAAAGCACTGGCATGTCCAAATATTAGTTTTACAGGGGCGTGGGTTTTGATGGAATTTACGTTTGAACAAGATTCATTCCAGACTTAAAACATGTTGGCGTTATCATGTTTTTGTCGTGATACCTTGTGAGTAATACTGTGGTCTCCCATGCTGAGACCGTAATGGAAGCTGACGTGGGTAACGTGTCATTACCGTCATCTAAGCGGTGAAGTTTCCAATAGCGGAAGTATGAAAAATAGTATAGTATGAAAAATGTATGCACTCACTAACTGTAAGTCGCTCTGGATAAGAGTGTCTGCTAAAATGACTAAATATAACACCGTATTTTCATGGTAAAACTCTGGCTGACAGTGGTGTGACTCGGCACTCTGGCGTGTACATTTCCGTATAGGCTTCTGTTAACTCTTATCCTCTTTAACTGAGACTAATCTTTATCCTTATCCTAGCTTTCAAATGCATGCAGTGTATGTGTGTGTGTTTGTGTGTGTGTGTGTGTGTGTGTGTGTATGTGTTTGTGTGTGAGTCATTTAGACAGGCTCCATAAACTGTGTTTGGTGTTAAAAATATTCCAATTGGAAATCTGTGGCGGCATCGTGCTTGGCACATCGCTAAAAGCATCACCTGCACTCTCTCTCCCCTGTAAATGACCTCAAAATGTATCTAACCATGGAGAAAAAAACACCAGCAGAATCAATGCCATCAGAAAAATGAAAGTACACTGATTGAAAGTGTCGTGGCGACTAGAGACAACATTTAAATGGCACCTTCACATATTGACGAAAGCCTCTATGTTCAAATCAAGAGACGAGGGGGCAATTCAAACACTGCACAGCAAAGAGCTGGATAATTCTTGATGCCTTTTAGACACAAGCATGTTATATTTGTCGCTATTATTTACTTTACATTTGGCTGGCTTTACAAGATGAGAAGAGCTAGAGAACATCAAAGTGCTGTGCTATGTGCAAAGCATTCGGGTACTTTGCCTATAACTGGCTCCATTGTACACTGCTGTATACTTAGTAAGGTGGATATTTACAGAGAAATATGAGGCGGAGATATTCAGTTATGATCCTTGAGAACAACAGCAATGTTGTTTTACATAATTTCCCTCCAATCAGGGACTGATTCAGACCTGGTTCACCAGGTGAGCGACCACTCCGGCCAACCAATGGCAGACATAACAGTAACTGACCAATTATCTACCAGGTACAGCACAAACTAAAACCAGAAGTACTTCAGTCCTCGATGGCGGGAATTGAATAGCCCTGAGACAATAGATGAATGTATAGAGGTGACGTACAGTACATGTAACATGGAGCTTGGTTCTCATTGAGTCACCCTGGAAAGCAAGTAAAGCAAGGACTACAGATGAAGGAAGAAAGAAAGAAAGAAAGAAAGAAAGAAAGAAAGAAAGAAAGAAAGAAAGAAAGAAAGAAAGAAAGAAAGAAAGAAAGAAAGAAAGAAAGAAAGAAAGAAAGAGAGAGAGAGAGAAAGAAAGAAAGAAAGAAAGAAAGAAAGAAAGAAAGAAAGAAAGAAAGGTACACTTCAACTGTGAGAGACGGAATCTAAAACAAAAATCCAGAAAATCACATTGTATGATTTTTAAGTAATTAATTTGCATTTTATTGCATGACATAAGTATTTGATCACCTACCAACCAGTAAGAATTCCAGGTCTCACAGACCTGTTAGTTTTTCTTTAAGAAGCCCTCCTGTTCTCCACTCATTACCTGTATTAACTGCACCTGTTTGAACTCGTTACCTGTATAAAAGACACCTGTCCACACACTCAATCAAACAGACTCCAACCTCTCCACAATGGCCAAGACCAGAGAGCTGTGTAAGGACATCAGGGATAAAATTGTAGACCTGCACAAGGCTGGGATGGGCTACAGGACAATAGGCAAGCAGCTTGGTGAGAATGCAACAACTGTTGGCGCAATTATTAGAAAATGGAAGAAGTTCAAGATGACGGTCAATCACCCTCGGTCTGGGGCTCCATGCAAGATTTCACCTCGTGGGGCATCAATGATCATGAGGAAGGTGAGGGATCAGCCCAGAACTACACGGCAGGACCTGGTCAATGACCTGAAGAGAGCTGGGACCACAGTCTCAAAGAAAACCATTAGTAACACACAACGCCGTCATGGATTAAAATCCTGCAGCGCACGCAAGGTCCCCCTGCTCAAGCCAGCGCATGTCCAGGCCCGTCTGAAGTTTGCCAATGACCATCTGGATGATCCAGAGGAAGAATGGGAGAAGGTCATGTGGTCTGATGAGACAAAAATAGAGCTTTTTGGTCTAAACTCCACTCGCCGTGTTTGGAGGAAGAAGAAGGATGAGTACAACCCCAAGAACACCTTCCCAACCGTGAAGCATGAAGGTGGAAACATCATTCTTTGGGGATGCTTTTCTGCAAAGGGGACAGGACGACTGCACCGTATTGAGGGGAGGATGGATGGGGCCATGTATCACGAGATCTTGGCCATCAACCTCCTTCAGTAAGAGCATTGAAGATGGGTCGTGGCTGAGTCTTCCAGCATGACAACGACCCGAAACACACAGCCAGGGCAACTAAGGAGTGGCTCCGTAAGAAGCATCTCAAGGTCCTGGAGTGGCCTAGCCAGTCTCCAGACCTGAACCCAATAGAAAATCTTTGGAGGGAGCTGAAAGTCTGTATTGCCCAGCGACAGCCCCAAAACCTGAAGGATCTGGAGAAGGTCTGTATGGAGGAATAAGCCAAAATCCCTGCTGCAGTGTGTGCAAACCTGGTCAAGACCTACAGGAAACATATGATCTCTGTAATTGCAAACAAAGGTTTCTGTACCAAATATTAAGTTCTGCTTTTCTGATGTATCAAATACTTATGTCATGCAATAAAATGCAAATTAATTACTTAAAAATCATACAATGTGATTTTCTGGATTTTTGTTTTAGATTCCGTCTCTCACAGTTGAAGTGTACCTATGATATAAATTACAGACCTCTACATGCTTTGTAAGTAGGAAAACCTGCAAAATCGGCAGTGTATCAAATACTTGTTCGCCCCACTGTAGGTATGAAATGTGTTATACCTATTCAGGCTTTATATCATATTATGACCAACATAATGCTTTACAAAATGAAATGGAAAACATTCTTAAAACACAGAAAAAATATGTTTTTTCATTCAGCAGAAATATACAGAAGGGTTGCCTTCACTTAGAATAGACAACATAGAAACGCTACAAAATAGTGCCCCTATGTGCAACTCACCCTGTGCTTTTGAGGTAGTTATGTCCTTGGCTGCAGCTCCTTGATACAACAGCTGGGTTGAACCAGAATGCTGGTAGACAGTTCTCTTCTCTACGCCGTTCAAAGCCATAATCACTATAACAAATCACATACAGAATGTGATCACTATCAACACTTTACCTCTACCCACTGTATAGGTACATATCTACCTCAATTATCTCCTACACCTGCCCGTCAACTCGGTACTGGTACCCCGCGTATATAGACAAGTTATCGTTACTCATTGTGTATTTATTATTATTTTTCTAGATTTTTCTCTCTGCATTGTTGGAAAGGGCCCGTAAGTAAGCATTTCACTGTTAGTCTACTCCTGCTGTTTACGAAGCATGTGATACATACAATTTGATTTGATTTTGATCCAAAGGACATACAGTAGTACTGTGTTACATGTTACAGCTTCTCTCTCCTATCCCCTCAGCACAACACATATAATAGCTATTGTTTTGCATTGCAACGCATCATTATTATATATTGACTGGGCTGCAGTTGACAAATGCTCCAGATCAGCAGAGCTAGGAAGACTGAGCCCTGGGGGACTCCATGTCAACACAGGCAACACAGGTTGACGTTAGCTACCTCCCAATCACAAAGTGATTTACATCGGGCAAAGCAGGTTAGGCAAGTGGTTGGTGGTGATAATAGTTCTAAGGGACCAAGTGAGTCCAATGAGGGTACAGTGTCCAGTTAAGGACATTACAGCACCACTGAATCATAGCTTTGGTAATGCATTGATTCCATTTCTTTCAAGTAAGGCAAAAAAGATGTGGTGTCCAGTTTAGTACATTATAGTCATGCAGACTCCCATGGTGTTTTGGTTACATATTAATACCAATCTCTCCTCACTTATTATTAATATAATGTATCAAGTGTTATATCTATGTATATATAAGCTCTGATTTCAGAATAGTCACTGTCCCACTTTAGAATCAACCCCTGGACCTTTTGTTCACAGCACAACATAACAACAGGGCGGTGCATTGTCAACCTCTTACACAATCAGGAAACATTTTCAGCCCTTGATTTTTGTGTACACTTCAACGTCAATTAAATGTTTGATTGTTATTCACGCTGAACGTTGAAGTTTCTCAAAAATATTGTTTTTTACATTTTTGCACTTCACTATCTCTATCACCAGCTAGAGAGAGAGAGAGAGAGAGAGAGCAAGAGAGAGGGAGAGAGAGATAGAGAGAGAGAGAGAGAGAGAGAGAGAGAGAGAGAGAGAGAGAGAGAGAGAGAGAGAGAGAAGATAGGAGAGAGAGAGAGAGAGAGAGACATGCCATGTGGTCAGGAAGTTTGTGAAATGTACCATATAATAATTTCAGTCCCAAAATAATTAAAAACAACTATCACAGGAGACTAATGGATTCTAATTAAAACTCATACAGTCTGACCTGACACCGCTGGCATTTATATAAAAATGTATCATTGCTTTTCTCTTCCCTGCCTTTATAAGATAAAAAACAACAACAACCTAGCAGTCCTATCAACACCCCTCATCTTCTCTACGTTATTATAAACATAGCAAAATGAGCTAAGCAGAGAGACAGACGTTAGGAGCAAATTGCGTAAAATGATCCCCAAACATATCTGATAATTGGAGCACTGACACCGAAAATGAACCAAATGAATGGGATGCTAAAATAATGCATTGAATCCAAAATGGGCTAAAATGGGACAACATACACAAAACATCATACACAATGACTCTCTCTTTTATGGACAATGAAACTTCTGTTGATCTACAGTGAGGGAAAAAAGTATTTGATCCCCTGCTGATTTTGTACGTTTTCCCACTGACAAAGAAATAATCAGTCTATAATTTTAATGGTAGGTTTATTTGAACAGTGAGAGACAGAATAACAACAACAAAAATCCAGAAAAACGAATGTCAATAATGTTATAAATTGATTTGCATTTTAATGAGGGAAATAAGTATGTGACCCCCTCTCAATCAGAAAGATTTCTGGCTCCCGGGTGTCTTTTATACAGGTAACGAGCTGAGATTAGGAGCACACTCTTAAAGGGACTGCTCCTAATCTCAGTTTGTTACCTGTATAAAAGACACCTGTCCACAGAAGCAATCAATCAATCAGATTCCAAACTCTCCACCATGGCCAAAACCAAAGAGCTCTCAAAGGATGTCAGGGACAGGATTGTAGACCTACACAAGGCTGGAATGGGCTACAAGACCATCGCCAAGCAGCTTGGTGAGAAGGTGACAACAGTTGGTGCGATTATTTGCAAATGGAAGAAACACAAAAAACTGTCAATCTCCCTCGGCCTGGGGCTCCATGCAAGATCTCATCTTGTCGAGTTGCAATGGTCATGAGAACGGTGAGGAATCAGCCCATAACTACACGGGAGGATCTTGGCAATGATCTCAAGGCAGCTGGGACCATAGTCACCAAGAAAACAATTGGTAACACACTACGCCGTGAAGGACTGAAATCCTGCAGCGCCCACAAGGTCCCCCTGCTCAAGAAAGCACATATACAGTCCCGTCTGAAGTTTGCCAATGAACATCTGAATGATTTAGAGGAGAACTGGGTGAAAGTGTTGTGGTCAGATGAGACCAAAATGGAGCTCTTTGGCATCAACTAAACTCGCCGTGTTTGGAGGAGGAGGAATGCTGCCTATGACCCCAAGAACACCATCCCCACCGTCGAACATGGAGGTGGAAACATTATGCTTTGGGGGTGTTTTTCTGCTAAGGGGACAGGACAACTTCACCGCATCAAAGAGACGATGGACGGGGCCATGTACCGTCAAATCTTGGGTGAGAACCTCCTTCCCTCAGCCAGGGCATTGAAAATGGGTCGTGGATGGGTATTCCAGCATGACAATGACCCAAAACACACGGCCAAGGTAACAAAGGAGTGGCTCAAGAAGAAGCACATTAAGGTCCTGGAGTGGCCTAGCCAGTCTCTAGACCTTAATCCCATAGAAAATCTGTGGAGGGAGCTGAAGGTTCGAGTTGCCAAACATCAGCCTCGAAACTTTAATGACTTGGAGAAGATCTGCAAAGAGGAGTGGGACAAAATCCCTCCTGAGATGTTTGCAAACCTGGTGGCCAACTACAAGAAACCTCTGTGATTGCCAACAAGGGTTTTGCCAATTTAGAACATTTTTGACATGCGTTTTTCTGGATTTTTTTGTTCTTCTTCTGTCTCTCACTGTTCAAATAAACCTACCATTAAAATTATAGACTGATCATTTCTTTGTCAGTGGGCAAACGTACAAAATCAGCAGGGGATCAAATACTTTTTTCCCCTCATTGTACTCATTTAGATTTGTGATAAAAAGATATGCTAAGACATGTTTTCATGTGTTCTATTTTACTGCAATTGTGAGTTATTATACTAGTTTACTATAATTACCATTCAAAGTCGTAGGCCCGACAAATACACGACTCAGCATAGTGGACTTTGGCGTAGTCTTTTCCCAGCATGCAATAGTTTCCTGGTCTGCGTTTCATATAGTTCTGTTTCTGGTCCATCACACACGGCTCGCCCTGTGAAACACATACAGGATATTCATCCATACAGTACACACACATGGGATTACAGTATGTCATTTTCAAATGTCAAATTTAACATAGAACAGCAAGGTCAACCACTCTTATGTTAACCTATTGAGCTTATTGTAACTACACAAACACTGTAAGTACACTGCATCTACCATGTTAAATCATTGTTACCCGGAGCAAAATGGGGAGGGTCATGCTTTTTCAATTTCAGTGTGGGGGAGGGATTAGTATTGTTTTATTTAGTCCAGGGGAGGGTCATGTAATTTGTAATCGATTAAATGCCACATTTCTCAGGGTTTGAGAATTAGTTGCTTATTATAGTATCTCGATGTGTGCACGATGATGCCCCTCATCCCTGATTCTCTGCTGGGTGCACAATATCAAGTGCGCCTAGTGTGGTCTCAATAAAATGATCCATAGCCTAAACTGTATGTTATAGGACTAGGCTACATGAAGAGCATGCAAGGAGAAGCACATGGCAAAGTTATATTTCTAAGAAAATGTACTTCCTTCCTCAGTTTTGAAATCGAAAACTAGGCCTACTGTTTGAGAAGGAGAGAGCAAAGATGAAAAGGAGGACTGGAGGTGAGCTTGCTACTGATATAATTGAAGCTATTTATCAGAGTTATTGACCTCACAAGAAGCCATATTCGAGTAATTTACATAACTTACATTACCATGAAGCAGCAGCAGTTTAATTTGGCTTTAGGCTACTAACAACAATAGGGCTTTGTGTTGGAGCCTATTTCTTCCTATTCAAGAAATAAGAGGCAGGCCTACCTGTTTGACAGATTACATTCAAATCAAATCAAATCAAATCAAATCAAATTTTATTGGTCACATGCGCCGAATACAACAGGTGCAGACATTACAGTGAAATGCTTACTTACAGCCCTTAACCAACAGTGCATTTATTTTAAACAAAAAAAGTAAGAATAAAACAACAACAAAAAAAGTGTTGAGGAAAAAAAAAAAAAAAAACGAAAAAAATAAAATAAAAAAATAAAAAAATAAAAAAAGAGCAGAAGTAAAATAAAGTGACAGTAATTATAGTCAACTATCCGTATACTTTGTCAGCCAATTCCTTCTGTCACCATACACTCCTTAAATATCTCAGTGTCAGTGAAGAGCTTGGTGTATTAAGTTAAAACCCAGGGCTCGAATTGAGGGGGTATGTGAGGGTATTATGGCTTTTGTTAAAGAAAATGGCTGAAAGCATAGGCCTACCCCCTTGTTATCTTGTTGTTTTTGGGAAAACAGTTATGGACATGATTATATAAAGTAATCTATAACGACGTGTTAGTCCGCAATGCTTTATGCTAGAAACAAGCTGTAAAATTCCGGGTAAAGACGTGACTCCGATGCATGTGAGATATCTTTGGTTCGTCTCTATGACATTCAGAGGCTGTGCTAAAACCTTCTATAGCCGAGGAGACAAAAAATGTACTTGGGAAGTAATGTGTGATTCTGTCACTATCAAATGACGTTCAACCTTTCAACAGGCTGTTAAACAACATACTAACTCTAACATCAGTCAGGAGCAAGCCAGTTAGCCTAAGAAGGAACAGAAATGTATTATTATATTATTATTTTTTCCAAGCTATAGCCCGCAATTTAAGAAATCAATTGTGAAACATTTGTGACACGCTACAGGCTGGCAGGAGCGCTCAGCATTTCAACAAGTCATCAACAACAGTACTTCAACAACGCACTTATAAATGTTGCATTTAGGTTGTGTAATCTTTTTTTTTTTTTTTTTACTTAGCATTAAATAGAAACATGAGTTTGGCCAGTCTTTGGTTTGAGGATCAGCTATGCATGCCTAGTTTGTTAATTTAGCATAGCAGATGCTCTTATATTCCCATGCCCAATCACAGTCAACACAAATCTATTTTGTAACAACAATATCATGGAATAAAATTGAAAATTAGAGTTTCACAAATGAAAACAAGTTACAAGTGCATATAGGCCTACGTGATGATATGGGACTGCTGTGTTAATCAACAAATGGCACATTAATTGATGATCAGATATCTCAGTTGTAACTGGTTCTGTTGCGCTCAATTTTTACAGTTGATAGACAACTTAAGCACTGTTCAAAACTTAGACTCTTCTCTTTTTCAACAATAGCCTGTATAGATTCATGCAGTGCTTTTATTATAATGGATATCTTTTCACCCCTACCCTTGTGGACGATAGTCTGTGAATCCACTACCTTCTGGCTACTTTGTCATGTAATGGGGCATTCAGTCCTAAGCTAACAGACTGACAACCCTTATGAATCTCCTATTTAGACGTCTGTTAATAAAGACGAGACATCAGCATTCATTGAATTGAAATTCCTCCTTCTCACCCCATATATTCTTTCCTCCCCATCCCCTTATATCCCAAAATAAGTCCCAAAAGAACGGAGGACAAAAGAACATCATCCCCCCATCTCTAGATCATTTATCACTACTCATGTCATCCCTCCATTCCTCCATCGTCCCTACTCACGTCATGATCTGGTTCTCTGTCCCGGCCTCCACCAGCATCCCGTCCACAAACAGAGGCACTAAGGAGAAGCTATGTCTGGTCCACTGCGCCCCTCATCAAAACTGATCCTGGAACAGAGTGACAACACAAAAATACATAAAATGAATCCCAAATGGCACCCAGGTCCTATAGGGCTCTGTTCTAAAGTAGTGTAGGCTGCTAGTAAATAGGGTGCCATTTGGGATTAAACAAATCCCATCTCATACAGTACATGACCAAAAGTATGTGGACACCTGCTCGTCGAACATCTCATTCCAAAATCATGGGCATTAATATGGAGTTGGTCCCCCCTTTGCTGCTGTAACAGGCTCACTCTTCTGGGAAGGCTTTCCACTAGATGTTGGAACATTGCTGCGGGGACTTGCTTCCATTCAGCTACAAGAGCATTAGTGAGGTCGGGCATTGATGTTGGGCGATTAGGCCTGGCTCGCAGTCTGCATTCCAATTCATCCCAAAGGTGTTCGATGGGGTTGAGGTCAGGGCTCTGTGCAGGTCAGTCAAGTTCTTCCACACCGATCTCAACAAACCATTTCTGTATGGACCTCGCTTTGTGCACGGGGGCATTTTCATGCTGAAACAGGAAAAGGCCTTCCACAAACTGTTGTCACAAAGTTGGAAGCACAGAATCGTCTAGAATGTCATTGTATGCTGTAACGTTAAGATTTCCCTTCACTGGAACTAAGGGGCCTATCCCGAACCATGAAAACAGCCCTAGACCATTATTCCTCCTGCACCCAACTTTACAGTTGGCACTATGCAATGGGGAAGGTAGCATTCTCCTGGCATCCGCCAAACACAGATTTGTCCGTCGGACTGCCAGATGGTGAAGCATTATTCATCACTCCAGAGAATGCGTTTCCACTGCTCCTGAGTCCAATAGCGGTGAGCTTTACACCACTGCAGCCGACGTTTGGCATTGCGCATGGTGATCTTAGGCTTATGTATGGCTGCTTGGCCATGGAAACTCATTTCATGAAGATCCCGACGAACAGTTCTTGTGCTGACGTTGCTTCCAGAGGTAGTTTGGAACTCAGTTGTGAGTGTTGCAAGGACAGACGATTTTTACGCGATTCAGCGATCCCGTTCTGTGAGCTTGTGTGGCCTACACTTAATGGCCGTTGCTGCTCCTAGAAGTTTCCACTTCACAATAACATCACTTACAGTTACATTTGAGCCATTTTAGCCATTTTAGCAGAAGCTCTTAGTGAGTGCATACATTTTTCATACTGGCCCCCCGTGGGAATCGAACCCACGACCCTGGCGTTGCAAGCGCCCTGCTCTACCAATTGAGCTACAGGAGGCCCCAGTTGACTCTAGCAGTGCAGAAATTTGACGAACTGACTTGTTGGAAAGGTGGCATCCTATGATGGTGCCACGTTGAAAGTCACTGAGCTCTTCAGTAAGGCCATTCTACTGCCAGTGTTTTTACCTATGGAGATTGCATGGCTGTATGCTAAATTTTTTACACCTGTCAGCAACAGGTGTGGCTGAAATATCAGAATCCACTAATTTGAAGGGGTGTCTACATACTTTTGTATATATAGTGTAACTCTGAGTAGGAGTGCTGATCTAGGATCAGTTTTGTCTTTTAGATAATAATGAATGAGATTATACAGACCGGGAAGATCTGATCCTAGATCAGCATTCCTACTCTGAATCCCAACCCTGATGCTCTCAATTACAGTGAGTCAACTGGGTTCATGGAAGATCAGCAGAGTAAATAGTCTCAATAGACAGTCAGCCAATGAATCTCAGGTTGCATCTAATTGACTACAGTTAACACACGTTCTGCTGAATAGAAGAAAAAAACAGAACTCTGACTATCAAAGCGTGGAGGCATAACAACTTGAAGGGAAAACAACAACGTCATAGGTCTTAGGTTTACTTACAGTCTACAACGAGGTGGTGAACATGAAAAAACACAACATACAGAAAACAAACCAGAATAGATCTGTTTCATGTTCTAACGACTACAAAACAGGGGAGGAGAGGTGGGGGGAGACAAGAAAAAAAAGAGATTGGGCAACATTCATTCTCCGGGCCTGTTCTCTATTGATTCTGACAGCTCATCAACATCACTTCAGATGTTAGAACACTGGAGTACTGTGTGTGACAAGGTTGGGAACAACACTCAACAATGCAGTGTCTTGCACTAGGATACAAGAAGCATCCCCCTTGTTGCAGCTTCCATCCAAACCTCCCTCAGCCAGCATGCCTTCATCTGGCTATAAGTTCAGACAACAGACAAAGTGTTGATACACATCTATTAAATCAAAATCAAATCAAATCAAATTTTATTGGTCACATGCGCCGAATACAACAGGTGCAGACATTACAGTGAAATGCTTACTTACAGCCCTTAACCAACAGTGCATTTATTTTAAACAAAAAAAGTAAGAATAAAACAACAACAAAAAAAGTGTTGAGAAAAAAAGAGCAGAAGTAAAATAAAGTAGGGAGGCTATATATACAGGGGGGTACCGTTGCAGAGTCAATGTGCGGGGGCACCGGCTAGTTGAGGTAGTTGAGGTAATATGTACATGTGGGTAGAGTTAAAGTGACTATGCATAAATACTTAACAGAGTAGCAGCAGCGTAAAAAGGATGGGGGTGGGGGGGCAATGCAAATAGTCCGGGTAGCCATGATTAGCTTTTCAGGAGTCTTATGGCTTGGGGGTAGAAGCTGTTGAGAAGTCTTTTGGACCTAGACTTGGCACTCCGGTACCGCTTGCCGTGGGGTAGCAGAGAGAACAGTCTATGACTAGGGTGGCTGGAGTCTTTGACAATTTTGAGGGCCTTCCTCTGACACCGCCTGGTATAGAGGTCCTGGATGGCAGGAAGCTTTGCCACAGTGATGTACTGGGCCGTACGCACTACCCTCTGTAGTGCCTTGCGGTCAGAGGCCAAGCAGTTGCCATACCAGGCGGTGATGCAACCAGTCAGGATGCTCTCGATGGTGCAGCTGTATAATTTTTTGAGGATCTGAGGACCCATGCCAAATCTTTTTAGTCTCCTGAGGGGGAATAGGCTTTGTCGTGCCCTTTTCACGACTGTCTTGGTGTGTTTGGACCATGATAGTTCGTTGGTGATGTGGACACCAAGGAACTTGAAGCTCTCAACCTGTTCCACTACAGCCCCGTCGATGAGAATGGGGGCGTGCTCAGTCCTCTTTTTTTTCCTGTAGTCCACAATCATCTCCTTTGTCTTGGTCACGTTGAGGGAGAGGTTGTTGTCCTGGCACCACACGGCCAGATCTCTGACCTCCTCCCTATAGGCTGTCTCATCGTTGTCGGTGATCAGGCCTACCACTGTTGTGTCGTCGGCAAACTTAATGATGGTGTTGGAGTCGTGCCTGGCCATGCAGTCATGGGTGAACAGAGAGTACAGGAGGGGACTGAGCACGCACCCCTGAGGGGCCCCCGTGTTGAGGATCAGTGTGGCAGATGTGTTGTTACCTACCCTTACCACCTGGGGGCGGCCCGTCAGGAAGTCCAGGATCCAGTTGCAGAGGGAGGTGTTTAGTCCCAGGATCCTTAGTTTAGTGATGAGCTTAGAGGGCACTATGGTGTTGAATGCTGAGCTGTAGTCAATGAATAGCATTCTCACGTAGGTGTTCCTCTTGTCCAGGTGGGAAAGGGCAGTGTGGAGTGCGATAGAGATTGCATAATCTGTGGATCTGTTGGGGCGGTATGCAAATTGGAGTGGGTCTAGGGTTTCTGGGATTATGCTGTTGATGTGAGCCATGACCAGTCTTTCAAAGCACTTCATGGCTACAGACGTCAGTGCTACGGGTCGGTAGTCATTTAGGCAGGTTATCTTAGAGTTCTTGGGCACGGGGACTATGGTGGTCTGCTTGAAACATGTTGGTATTACAGACTCAGTCAGGGACATGTTGAAAATGTCAGTGAAGACACTTGCCAGTTGGTCAGCACATGCTCGGAGTACACGTCCTGGTAATCCGTCTGGCCCTGCGGCCTTGTGAATGTTGACCTGCTTAAAAGTCTTACTCACATCGGCTACGGAGAGCGTGATCACATAGTCATCCGGAACAGCTGGTGCTCTCATGCATGCTTCAGTGTTGCTTGCCTCGAAGCGAGCATAGAAGTGGTTTAGCTCGTCTGGTAGGCTTGTGTCACTGGGCAGCTCGCGGCTGTGCTTCCCTTTGTAGTCTGTAATAGTTTTCAAGCCCTGCCACATCCGACGAGCGTCAGAGCCAGTGTAGTATGATTCAATCTTAGACCTGTATTGACTCTTTGCCTGTTTGATGGTTCGTCGGAGGTCATAGCGGGATTTCTTATAAGCGTCCGGGTTAGAGTCCCGTTCCTTGAAAGCGGCAGCTCTACCCTTTAGCTCAGTGCGGATGTTTCCTGTAATCCATGGCTTCTGGTTGGGGTATGTACGTACGGTCACTGTGGGGACGACATCATCGATGCACTTATTGATTAAGCCAGTGACTGATGTGGTGTACTCCTCAATGCTGTCTGAAGAATCCCGGAACATGTTCCAGTCTGTGCTAGCGAAACAGTCCTGTAGCTTAGCATCTGCGTCATCTGACCACTTTTTTATTAACCGAATCACTGGTGCTTCCTGCTTCAGTTTTTGCTTATAAGCAGGAATCAGGAGGATAGAGTTATGGTCAGATTTGCCAAATGGAGGGCGAGGGAGAGCTTTGTATGCGTCTCTGTGTGTGGAGTAAAGGTGGTCTAGAGTTTTTTTCCCTCTGGTTGCACATTTAACATGCTGGTAGAAATTAGGTAGAACGGATTTAAGTTTCCCTGCATTAAAGTCCCCGGCCACTAGGAGCGCTGCATCTGGATGAGCGTTTTCCTGTTGATTAATGGCCTTGTACAACTCATTCAGTGCAATCTTAATGCCAGCATTGGTTTGTGGTGGTAAATAGACAGCTATGAAAAATATAGATGAAAACTCTCTTGGTAAATAGTGTGGTCTACAGCTTATCATAAGATACTCTACCTCAGGCGAGCAAAACCTCGAGACTTCTTTAGTATTTGATTTTGTGCACCAGCTGTTGTTTACAAATATACACAGACCGCCACCCCTTGTCTTACCCGAGTCAGCCGTTCTGTCCTGCCGATGTAGCGTATAGCCTGCTAGCTGAATGTTATCATTGTTGTCGTTCAGCCACGACTCCGTGAAACATAAGATATTACAGTTTTTAATGTCCCGTTGGTAGGATAACCGTAATCTTAAATCGTCCATTTTATTCTCAAAAGCTTGAACGTTGGCTAATAGGATTGATGGAAGAGGCAGTTTACTCGCTCGCCGTCGGATCCTTACAAGGCACCCGGATCTGCGTCCGCGATATCTCCGTCTCTTCCTCACGCGAATGACGGGGATTTGGGCCTTGTCGGGTGTCTGTAGGATATCCTTCGCGGCCGCCTCGTTGAAGAAAAAATCTTCGTCCAATGCGAGGTGAGTAATCGCTGTCCTGATATCCAGAAGCTCTTTTTGGTTATAAGAGACGATGGCAGAAACATTATGTACAAAATAAATTACAAATAACGCGGAAAAACACACATAATAGTACAATTGGTTAGAGGGCTGTAAAACGGCAGCCATCTTCTCCGGCGCTGTTCTCAGGTTTTAGGAGGATACCAGGGGCAGGACATTTTTACTTTTACACTAGCTGGGGGGGAGGGAGGGAGGGAGGGCGAGAGAGAGAAAGAGAGAGAGAGAGGATTGGTTCCTACAGCACTTGCCTGGATTCAAATAGTATTTGTTATCTTTCAAATACTTTAGCTGCCCGTTATTGAGCTTGCCTGGCCTAATGGATCCAATGGAATTGGCCCAAAAGTGAAAATTCTGGCACTCCTGACAATTAAAAGGCTCAATTAAATTATGAATGAAAACAAAAACAATTTGAACCCTGGTCTGCTACGAAGGCTTCTACTGTGTTCCTTTCCTCCACTAATGCACTTAAATCGTCTAGGAGACACAAACAGGAAGGAAGGTCGTCCTCGACACTTGACTGGTGCTAAAAGTAATTTCAAAAAAAATTTCTAAAGTGATATAAGAAGAAGAGAGATGTGATTTCAGTTGAGTTGGTCATCACTGAGGAAAAATGTGGGCGCTCCAATTTAGAAGAGAATGGGCAAAGTGTTAAAGTACTAAAAGGGGGACCTGGTGAAGAAACATTGGCAAATTGGGAAAAACACTTTCCCCCAATTCCATTTTTGAAGCAATTTTGTATCTTTATAGCATATGTATGTGCTTTGCAAGTTGTTCCAACTTTGAAAACTGCCTTTAATCAACAGATAAAGTTACATAAATTTTTTTTACATCAATAGAGGTACTAACATGTTACAGAAACCAGTTTACAGAGATACAAACATTGAATTAGATTTAAACCTACTGTAAATGTCTGGTGGGGACGGTTGGTTGTTTCACAGCGACTAAGGCCCCTCCTTTATCCAGAAACCAGACGTTGTGCTCCTCCTCAAATATCTGAAAGAGAACACACAGACAATTCAATTTAAAATATGATTTACATACAGTTTTTACTATATACCTACAATATATGTAAGAAACTACAGCAGTTTACAGCTGAATACTGAGAGTTTCAAAACAGCTCATGATCAAAAGGCAGAGACAGCAGTACATGTCCAAAATACTTATTCTCCAGACTACAATAATCAGTGTTTTCCTTGATTAGAATGCCTTAGATTTAACCTCCAAATTCAGTCTAAACTCACCTGTCTCCAGTTGTTACCAGCATCAGATGAGATGAACATTCCAACGTTATTATACGACAGCTAAGACCCAATATTCCCTGTGGTAAAAATACAACAAAGCATTAGTTAAATATTCAAACGATGCTGAAAATATGAAGATGCTATGAATTACAATGAGATAATAGATGTAGAGAAGAGAAGAACAACCATTCATGTTTAATGTGGATGGATATTTCTCAGTTTTTCTTAAGAAATTATGTAACATTTTCCTCTCTGAGGATATCTCTCCACTTTGTTGATTTGAGGTGATATCTCCCAACCACTGTTCTGTGTCAGGCGTGAGTTTTGAGCAGCATCGTGTTTGTCAGGTTCACGAACTGATCTCTGCACCAGCATGTGTGTGTGTGCATGTGTGCGTGTGTGAGGGCGCAGGGGTGAGTGATTCACTGGGCCAACACAAAGGTTTGTGTAGAAATACCCGAACACACACTTACAAACAAACAATCTGTTGTGTCATGTGTCCTCAGTCTGCTTTTTCCCACTTAAATAAACCGGGGACTTTGCGTCATCCAAAAACTAACATCTATGAGTAAGGACAACATCAGAAGTGTGATAGTGTGTCTCTGGCCAGAGTACAGTTATACAGTACAGTTATACAGGCTGACAGTGGTTTAGGGATCTCACTGACCCAGTAAGAGATTAGAGGATAGGAGGAGAGAACAAACTATTGTTTTGGTGACAGAGCAAATATTGTTTGAGGACAGAGATCAAGAAAGCAGATTCATTGATGTAGACCATTTTTGTTGTTGTTGCTGAGATACAATATTTTCCTAGACAATTGAAGATTAGTTGTTTATAGCAGGACTTGCAAATCCCCATCAGTAATGTTAGGGATTGCATAATCATCATAATATTCACAATCAAATGGAAATTCAGCACTAACTGGAAATGAAAGACAGCTATTCTCCTTTTGTACCATTACCTAAATTGAATTGATGTCTTTCTATTCAGCCAAATGAATTCCACATAAGTGGACAATAAGGTAATCTAATCTAATCTTATCTATCAAATGGTAATTCTGTATTTTCTCACCTGTGGCCACTATGATTCCCGGTGCTGAGGCCTTGGTTGATATGCTGCCTGACAGGTAGGGGTTTTCAGACGTCTGCAGTTGGAGATGGAGTGAACAGAAGGGCTGAGGGGTGAGAAATGACAGACAGTCCATTATATTTGACAAAGCCATTATACACTGGTCAATCAAATCCCCAATGTTACACAGAACACTATAGGGTTGATCTTTAAAGGTGCACAAAGAATATGCTTTTTATTTGAAGAGAAGGTCCTTTTAGATAAGGAAAAGAAAAGCTACTATGCTGTCTTTATCAGGCTTTCATCTCAGAAACCCTGAAGATATTGCCTAATAGAATCCTTTTGATTCTGAAGTCTTCCAGTGAGTTACATTTACACCAAATGCTAACAACAATGCTAACATAGGCAGTTAACTATACAACAAACTATATTTGGTTAACAAAACAAAACACAAGTAAGCCAATTCCCGCAGCCTCCCTCTGAAAAACCATGCTGCGCCTCCATAGTTTGTCTTAATTGTCGTTATCAGTCATTAATACAGAGGGGTCGAGCCGACAACAAAATACAATATTATCTGTTCACAGAGCCCCCCCAAAACATTTCCACTTTCATCTTTGCCTATTGATAGCGTGACACTGCTGTAAGGACACCAGGGGCAAAGGGATTAAACAGGGTAATCAAAAGGAATCTTAATTAGAATGTCACATGAATGCACAATCGTATTAAACCTATAACCCACTCAGCGCACAGTGTGCAGACTCCACAATTGCCTCCCTAGGCTTTTAAGCAGTATGAACTCTTACTGCTAATGTCTCAGTTATTTCTCTACATAGTCATCCTTTACAGTCACCTCACGTGGGATAAAAGGTAAGATAGGGCACATAAATTAATAATAACTTTAAATAATAAAGAGTGTGTACACAATTCGTCTTCATGTCATAGCTTAAATGTGATTATGTAAAGTAATTTCCCTTCCATTAAGATGAGTAAGCAAACTCCCTTGAGTGTGTGATGTAACACACAGTTATCATTGATGTACATAACTTGAAGGGAACTGAACACATATTCCTTTATTAAAATGAACTTCCAATGGAGATTCTTTTTTGAGTATGCCTTTTTAGTCCTGGAGTAGGCTTAATCTGGGTCTAGGAAAGCACCTCAAAGAGTTCAGGCAGTCTTAGATCATGTATGATTACCACAGCAATGAGCCTTCCCTGTTAACGTCAGTATAACTCACCAGTACACAGTGGATGTCGTTGCCAGCCAAGTCTGTCGCAGGGGCCTGCAGTAACCTCCAATCACGGCCCTTGTTGTAGGTGATGTAGGTCTTCATCTGGTTGTCCAGCCTCCTGTTAGCAATCAGTTAAGTTTGGACACACCTACTCATTCAAGGGTTTTTCTTTATTTTTACTAATTTCTACATTGCAGAATAATGGTGAAGACATCAAAACTATGAAATTTTTTTGAAACCAAAAAAGTGTTGAACAAATCAAAATATATTTTATATTTGAGATTCTTCAAATAGCCACCCCTTGCCTTGATGACAGCTTTGCACACTCTTGGCATTCTCTCAACCAGCTTCACCTGGAATGCTTTTCCAACAGTCTAGTGCTGAGCACTTGTTGGCTGCTTTTCCTTCAATCTGCGGTCCGACTCATCCCAAACCATCTCAATTGGGTTGAGGTCGGGGGATTGTGGAGGCCAGGTCATCTGATGCAGCACTCCATCACTCTCCTTCTTTGTAAAATAGCCCTTACACAGCTTGTAGGTGTGTTGGGTCATTGTCCTGTTGAAAAACAAATTATAGTCCCACTAAGCCCAAGCCAGATGGGATGGCGTATCGCTGCAGAATGCTGTGGTGCCATGCTGGTTAAGTGTGCCTTGAATTCTAAATAAATCACAGACCAGCAAAGCACCCCCACACCATAACACCTCCTCCTCCATGAAATACAAATGTGAAAATCATCCGTTCACCCACACCACGTCTCACAAAGACATGGCTGTTGCAACCAAACATTTCCAATTTGTATTCCAGACCAAAGGACACATTTCCACCGGGCTAATGTCCATTGTTCGTGTTTCTTGGCCCAAGCAAGTCTCTTCTTCTTATTGGTGTCCTTTAGTAGTGGTTTCTTTGCAGCAATTTGACCATGAAGGCCTGATTCACACAGTCCCCTCAGAACAGTTGATGTTAAGATGTGTCTGTGACTTGAACTCTGTGAAGCATTTATTTGGGCTGCAATTTCTGAGGCTGGTAACTCTAATGAACTTATCCTCTGCAGCAGAGGTAACTCTGGGTCTTCCATTCCTGTGGCGGTCCTCATGAGAGCCAGTTTCATCATAGCGATTGATGGTTTTTGCGACAGCACTTGAAGAAACTTTCAAAGTTCTTGAAATGTTCCGTATTGACTGACCTTCATGTCTTAAAGTATTGATTGACTGTCTTTTCTCTTTGCTTATTTCAGCTGTTCTTGCCATAATATGGACTTGGTCTTTTACTAAATAGGGCCATCTTCTGTATACCCACCCTACCTTGTCACAACACAACTGATTGGTTCAAACGCATTAAGAAGGAAATAAATTCCACAAATTAACTTTTAAGAAGGCACACCTGTTAATTGAAATGCATTCCAGGTGACTACCTCATGAAGCTGTTTGAGAGAATGCCAAGAGTGTGCAAAGCTGTCTTCAAGGCAAAGGGTGGCTATTTGAAGAATCTCAAATATAAAATATATTTTGATTTGTTTAACACTTTTTTTGTTACTACATGATTCCATATGTGTTATTTCATAGTTTTGATGTCTTCACTATTATTCTACAATGTAAAAAATAGTAAAAATAAAGAAAAACCCTTGAATGAGTAGGTGTTTCCAAACTTTTGACTGGTACTGTATATATATATTTTTAAACACAATTCACAAAAGTAGTGCACTGGTCCTTTACTAGTCCTGTACTAGCGGAACAATATACTGTGGGGGGGGGGGGGGGGGGGGAATGTGTCAGCCACCAATTGTGCAAGTTCTCCCACTTAAAAAGATGAGAGAGGCCTGCAATTTTCATCATAGGTACACGTCAACTATGACAGACAAAATGAGAAAAAAAAATCCAGAAAATCACATTGTAGGATTTTTAATGAATTTATTTGCAAATGATGGTGGAAAATAAGTATTTGGTCAATAACAAAAGTTTCTCAATACTTTGTTATATACCCTTTGTTGGCAATGACACAGGTCAAACGTTTTCTGTAAGTCTTCACAAGGTTTTCACACACTGTTGCTGGTATTTTGACCCATTCCTCCATGCAGATCTCCTCTAGAGCAGTGATGTTTTGGGGCTGTCGCTGGGCAACACGGACTTTCAACTCCCTCCAAAGATTTTCTATGGGGTTGAGATCTGGAGACTGGCTAGGCCACTCCAGGACCTTGAAATGCTTCTTACGAAGCCACTCCTTCGTTGCCCGGGCGGTGTGTTTGGGATCATTGTCATGCTGAAAGACCCAGCCACGTTTCATCTTCAATGCCCTTGCTGATGGAAGGAGGTTTTCACTCAAAATCTCACGATACATGGCCCCATTCATTCTTTCCTTTACACGGATCAGTCGTCCTGGTCCCTTTGCAGATAAAAAGCCCCAAAGCATGATGTTTCCACCCCCATGCTTCACAGTTGGTATGGTGTTCTTTGGATGCAACTCAGCATTCTTTGTCCTCCAAACACGGTGAGTTGAGTTTTTACCAAAAAGTTCTATTTTGGTTTCATCTGACCATATGACATTCTCCCAATCCTCTTCTGGATCATCCAAATGCACTCTAGCAAACTTCAGACAGGCCTGGACATGTACTGGCTTAAGCAGGGGGACACGTCTGGCACTGCAGGATATGAGTCCCTGGCGGCGTAGTGTGTTACTGATGGTAGGCTTTGTTACTTTGGTCCCAGCTCTCTGCAGGTCATTCACTAGGTCCCCCTGTGTGGTT